GGTGAGCGAGGGACGAGGGGGTGGAAGAGAGGGGGAGCCAATGGAGTCCAGAGTAACGGAGTTCGAGGACAAAAAGTTTTCCTTCGAGGGATCTGCTCTTGATCCTTCTTTTCTTTTTACTATCCTTTTTTGCTAATTTTTTTTTTATTTTTTTTTTTTAACCGGTAGCCACTTTACATAGCGAAACGTTAAGAGGTACCCTCAACAGAAAGTAATAGCGAAAGCAAACAGTCGATGCATCGAAAACATGTAAAATTTCCCAATACCCATTTCTTTTAGCTTTTTAAAAAATTTCAATTTTTCGCGATTAATCGAAAATAAACAAAAAAAAATTTTTCGTGATAACCCCCGAGCAATGTTTCCGAATAAATTCCCTAGAAAAATCTTACCGAAGACCCGAACCCAATTTACATAACCTTTGCGCAATCTCCCCTTTGACCTCCAGATTTCCGATTTTCCCGCAAGGCCAAGTTACGCCATTGCACCCCGTCCTATCCGCGATACGTCCTATCCGAGCGAATACGTGCTATATATATATGCTCGTAATAATGTCAATAATCCAGAGACTCGGGTCCGCTGATTATCGACTAATTAGCAATTGGCGCGATATCACCGCCGCTCGGTAATTGAATAGACGTTCCGAAATTCGGTTGGCCGCTAATCACGATTATCTTTATCCAGCGTGCCTCAACGTGACGTAAACGTGCATGGAGACACACGGTGCTCGGCAATACGTAATTCCAAGATAACCGAGGCATCTGCCAGGAATGGGATAACCCTCGTATCCCGGCATGCATCCGCGATCCACAATTTGGCACCAGCGGCAGGGCGAACCTGCCCTCCTGCTGCTGCAACTGCAACCCGTTGGCAGATATGCGCTTATGTAGGCCGAGCCGGGTACCGGAAGCCGGGAAGGTCAGGAATTTACACGAGACGGTACAAGGGACCAGACTGGGTTAGGTTAACAGTGCAAACGAGCCTGTACGTTAGATTAGAGCAATTATTTATAGATCATGCAAAGAACCAACGTAACAATATAGTAAATTAATCAAAAGAACGATCCGGCGAAGAGTTTTCGGTAAAAAGACGCGTCGTCCTTGTCTAGCGCACGCGAACGCCCATAACCCCGTCTCTCTCGCACTCATTGCTATAAAATATAACCACAGCCACCCCGTGACAGCTGTCAAATTCGAGCAGAAATCCAGACTCGAGTGACGCATTATGATTTTCGTCATTAACCAGCTACGATTTAATTCGGAAAATTTTTTTTAGATTCTATCATCAAATCCCATCCCTCAACTTTCAACCCCCAGCCATGACCTACCACCACGACGCAAAGTACCCACCACGCACCTGCATACGAAAACCGAGTAACGAAATGCGAGAAATTAACGATTCGCCCGTAGTTTGTCATATTTTACGTTTCCGCGAGATGGCACCACCCGTCCAGTCGGCCCACCGGTAGCTGGATGGCTGAATATTCGAACAATTAGGGGAACCGTTATTATGGTAATTAGTCAGCCAGCGAACTGGCAGCCACCGCGCCGCGACACGACAATGGCGTGGCTCGTATATCACCGATAATAATATTATGGAATATGGTTGCAACTCGTAACCCGGCGAGAGGGAGAGCCTCCCGTCACCCACCCAACCCCCTCGCGTCATCGTGACCCTTTGCAGTCCTCCCCCCGCA